ATATACAAACAAGTGATGCACTGTGTAATTGTCACCAACCTGTGACAAACACCTGTCCTGCCCCAGCAAGTGGACATCCTGAAACAGTTAAGTCCCAAAACCACAATCCCAGACAAGTGAGAGGCCCAAAAAGAGCATGAGAGAGAGTCACACAGAATAGAATTCCCCAACTTCCCTGCCGGCCCTCATCTATATACTGGGCATGACGTTGCACGATATGGAATACTCTACTGGCCAATTTGGCCCTCAATCCCAAGTCTAAATTCAGATCGTAAGGGAAGCTGTGGGCCCTTGGTCCCAGCCGTGCTCCCTCGCAGCCTCTTGTGCTCCTGCACACTGGCAAAAGCATGCGAAGCTGAAAGGTCCTTGATGTCTCAGCACCAACTATAAACATCAGTGTGCTATCAACGTTCCTTCTGTAACAAATCCCTTACTAAATCCAAAACACCGATAAAGAATCCAGTTCAGTCACAAACGAGCAGATGATCTATAAGCATGCTCCTGAGCTACTGAAGTAAAACCACAACTTGTATCATCTAGATGTGGTCCTCACTACCACCCATCCTGCAGTATGGGTGTGTACTGAACTGCACCCCTAGCTAGCACACAGATTTCCAAATTTGACTAAGGGGGAAAGAATTGCTATTACCTGCTACTCTTACCTGATCAGCCTATAACTAAACCACTATTTCATTTTTATACTTAAATAGCAGCTAAGAAAATTACTCATACACATAACTGAAGTGCTAGTCAAAGCTGATGGCAACCAAAAGTGAAGTGTCTGCTCTGTGACCTTCAGAAGACGAAAAAACTCATTGACAGGAGACTCAATTAACCCTAGATGTCCAGTCCAGAAAGCAAATTCTTTCAGGTCTTCACTGATTCACTAATGCATATCACAAGCACCTATCTCCCCCTTCTGGAATTATAAAGTCTTACAAGCATCTGGATTAGCTACACTGGACACTGCTGTAAGACCAAGCAATTCCAAGCACGTGAAGAACTCTGCTTTACTCTAGTTGCCTATAACAAAACATGCACACTAGTTAAGACAACTTTAGAATAAATATCACCCAAAGTCTGTTGCTTTGGTTTTTGTTTTGTTGTTTGGGTTTTTTTTAAGTATTAACTGAGACAGTTGGCTAAGAAATACCCAATTACTAACCACCACTACTGGAGGAATACAAAAACAAAGTAGGTGATTCTGTTTCTCATGAGTATAGATGCTTCTTTTTGTCTCAAATGAGTTTTAATTTCTCAGCTTCAACACCAACATACTCTAGTAACAGCACAGCAATCAGTGACACATAACCATTTCTTAAAAGCATCCAATTCTTCTGATAAGTATAAAAATAAGGCTGACAAACCTGAAGTTTCCAAACTCACCTTATCTATGGACGCTTGCATTTTTGCTTTGATCTCCTCTAACGACAGAGGGACTTTTGGTGTTTTTGGAGTTAGAGACTTATCCTTCTTGGAATCTGGAGTCTGAAAATTATTCATTTCATTAGGAACTTGCACATCCATAAAGCTGCTTAGTATACAAGATAAAGTTTTCTAAAACCAAGAATGCTAAAACCTATTGCAGAACTTAAAACAGAATAAAAGAACTAGTTATCCCAGATACTTCAGACAGTTTTCAAAAAGTCACAGTTAAATTTGTGCTGCTAACACATTCCTCAGACAAGGAAAAGAACATTTAAGTTTGGACTTACTAGTTAGCATAGCTGGTATTTTATGCTTCTGGGCAGATGCCTGCACAGCTCCTTCTCCCAACAAAAATGAAACTGAAAGTGGCCCCATCATTACAGGATTTAGAGTCTACTCCACAACTGCAGCCAGATTAGGTCATGCTTTAAAAAGCACACATCTGCACTGCTTTTCAGATACTATCCTGCCATCCATCCCTCCCACACTAACTTCTGTATCAACCTTCCTTGCATGCATGTTCTGAGTGCATGCAGCAAGGAAAATCTGCGTTAAGGAAGCTTGAAAACTACCAACTGACTGACCAAGAAAATCGCTAGTTCTCAAATGGATCAGGTTAAGCGAGAATTCCTCAGCAGCAGCAGCCTCCTGTTGTACTGCAGAGGCAACACAGTCAGCACTTAACCCCTCGGTACGAGCAGCTGCACAAAAAAATACACACTTGTATTTTAAACCATGTGATCACCAGTCCTCACAAGGGACAGCATGTCCGATTTCAAATCTTGGCTGTTGTAGTTGTACGTTATCACTGAAGAGTTTCACAGGGGAACATGAAGCAATGAACAGTATCCACAGCATGCTTCGTATTAAGATTCAAAAACCTAACTTAATGGGTACTACATTGTTTCAAGTTACTGTTACGCAAAAAAAGTAGCTTCCACACTAGAATAAACATTTGTTTTACTCATTTGTCTTCACTCACTTTTGATTTAGACGCTGGTGTGGACGGCTTAGAGTCTTTCCCATTTTGCTTTGCTTTCTGCATATTTTTTCCTGAAGCCTCACGGGCAGGCTGAAAAGAAAGCACTGAAGTTCATTTGCCATGGAAAAACTGCTAGTAAATGTTAAGCTCATTAGCACAGTACTCAAGACTTAGTGACCAATACATACTATTCAACATTAAACTAAAAAGCATTCTCATTGCCCATGCAATATGGTCAGCATCCACTATTTACGCAAAAAGCACGTATGCTACAGGAATTCAAATGGAAAACATAACACGGAGCATAACCAAGATCAAGTTTTGTTCCAATGCCATACAATTATGTGGGACCACCACTTTGCTTTCCTTATCAATTACATCTTTCCTTATACATGCAGACTTTTGGGGGCAGATATTGCATAAGACTAATTCTAGATGGCACTGCGATTCCAAGACCTGACTCAGTGCTACTTGTAAGACAACCATTAGCTCTTGTTTAGCATTTCATACAGAACTACCACCTGGGATGTGTGTGGGCAATGCCACATACACTTCTAGATCAAATATACTCCTATACGAATCAGGAGAACACTTCATTCCGCCACACTAGATTTCATTAGATGGCTGGAAATCTGCAGTTCAGATTGTCTTTACCAGACCTTAAACTATTGTGCAGTATAACCTATAGAAATTCCTTAGGACAAAGCAGCATATAATCAAGTAAAACATTAAACATTTGCTTCTAAACAGCAGATATGTAAACATAAATGCAAGTCAAAGTATGTGAGTTCAGAAAAACTACCTTCTACCTCTGCAGCTGCCAAGCTGTCTCAGTTTATTTTACCACCAGATGGCACTCAAGGGCTGATGCAATTTCACATTCGAGCACTTGACTGCCTGACATGAACCTTTTCCAATGGCCTCACACATTTAGAGCCTTTTATTTGAAGTTAGGTTGCTAAAAATACCTTTTTCATAGCACTAACCAAAATGGCAAAACACAACCCACATCTCTGAGCAGGATTTTGTTTGCTGCTCTATAGCCATACACAAAAAAATACCAGTCTGACAACTGCACACATGCCTATGGCTTGCTGTTAAGAATTCCCAGCCACCCCTCTGCAGCCAGGTAAATAAAACATGTTGGAAGCACATTCACATTGAAGCATTCTAATGCCCTACTGCAATTGCTTTATACAGACCAAGCTAAATCAAAAGCATCCCATTCCCACACTCCACACAGCTGTGCTATGTGCCCAATGTAGTGTCATCCCTTGTACTGGTGTCTAGTCCATTATGAAACAGAACACTGCACAAAGAAGACACTAAACAGCTATCTCACTTATACAAACACAACTTCCCCCACCTCCACTTTAGCGGTCTTCACACGAATCCCCAAAGATGACTCAAAATCAGGATAGTTAACTAACACCTATTAGCAAGTTTAGGTGCTAGCACTTGTTCCCCCATCTGAAAGAACTTAGCTGTAAATATTAAGTCCATCTGCTGTTATCACTCACTTCCTTTCAAGTTCATTAAACAGGCTGTTCAATCCTTCATGGGTGAAGAGGGTCACAACGTGTGCGTATGTATCTCTATACATGCCACTTACTTTCTTTATTGGTGCTTTTATTTCTTCCTCATCATCCTCTAAGTCATCCTCATCACTACAATTAGAAAGTAAACTCAAGATTCATTCTCACAGCTTTAACCACATTAGGAATCACCATACCCCCCAATAAATCGTTTCATTCATGAAAAAAGCAAGTCATCTTCCCAAGACTACTTTACACCTTGTTTTATACACATGGCAAGGTGTTAGGTCAAATACCTTCCTTAGTACTGTTAAAGCAGTTATATGTGCACCTTTCTGCTTTAATACTGAAGGCATGTATCTTGGGACTTCCACTACTACTAATAATAAAGAAATTCTGAATTTATTTAATTAATTACATGAAACTAAGTTTTATAACTAATAAAGAAATTCTGAATTTATTTAATTACATGAAACTAAGTTTTATAACCCCGCAAGACATATTTGAATAACACTAATTGCAGATGCATTGCAGAGAGAAGCTTGAGGCAATTCTGCTTTTTTTGTAGCCAAAATAAAGTAGCTTGCTCACTTAACATCCTCTTATGCCACACAACTTGTATTCTGAAAGTTAACCCCATATTTCAAAATACATTATCAAAATAAGAATACATACTCATCATCCTCCTCGTCGTCTTCATCATCCTCCTCATCATCTTCTGATAATTTTGCTTTTTTCTTAAAAAAAGTTTCAAGTATGTGAAGTGTCAATACCATTTTATCTTAAACAGCAATCTTGACCCAAAACAATTTGTGGCATAATTACAAGACCATCTTTCATTGGTTTAGCTAAAAATCAACAGGCTACAGCTAACAAGTCAAAAGCTATTGACAAATTTACAGCACACCCTGAGCACATGAACCTTTCCTTCTACACTCCAGAGCTTCAATCAGCACCATTTTATCTTAAACAGCAATCTTGACCCAAAACAATTTGTGGCATAATTACAAGACCATCTTTCATTGGTTTAGCTAAAAATCAACAGGCTACAGCTAACAAGTCAAAAGCTATTGACAAATTTACAGCACACCCTGAGCACATGAACCTTTCCTTCTACACTCCAGAGCTTCAATCAGCATTTCAATTATTGCAGTATGCTGATGTTTATACTAGAATCTGCATAAGGTCAGTTACTACAGTGGACAAAACTTTCACAGAGAAGTAGCCTTCATATTAGCCCCTCCTTAGTAAAGCTTTGGAAACTACCTGTACTGAACTACCTTTCCATAATTTAGCACTTGTCAGGACTCAAGTACAATGTAACTCTT